ATTTGTTGAATTTATGTACCGCAGTTCCAAACTCGCTGAACATAAGAGCACCATCAGTACACATTATCAGGAGAAATGGTTGATCACTCGTAATCGTTCAAATAATTATATTCACTTTGTTCATTATAACATCGCTTCATTCTAAAACAAATGGCATCTTCAAACTAACAATCCTTTTTAATTATGCTCTCTAAAACAGATCTCCGTGCTTATTTTGTGTAAACATGATAACAATTTGTTTCTTCACGCAGCCAATTTGGTAATTTGTTAGTGTATCATTATTCTGTGTAACATGTGAAATATGTAGGATTTTTTTTCGAAGGCATGTAACCACATTTGGAATGTAAAGAATTACACGAGGTGGGTTGTGCAGTTTTGATCAGGGGAAGATGTCAGGGGGCACTTTTCCAAACCCTGTAATGGCGTCGTCCTTTTCTTATAGAAAAAAAGACCTTAACCAGCTGTTATTTTTAATAAATGTTTTTTTAATTGACAATTTTTAGGTCACCAAAATATCTGTGCATCTGAAGTCAGCTTTAGAAATTGATCGGCAAAAGCGATTGCCAAGAGGAAAAACTAAACAAACCTCAAGGCACTCCTTTCAAGTTATAACTAAGTCGTAGACATTGCGGTTTTAATGAGAGGCACCGATAGACATCCATTGATGTCAAAAATACAAAATTTGTTACAAATAAAAGACACCGAAGTTTTAAAAATTTGCTCAAAACGAGGACTGTTTATGCCGAATTCTTTCCTCTGTAGATCTTTTTTGGGAGCGTAGTCTTACTTAAAATCAAGTACTCTGTTAGTTCAAAGTCAGAGGAACCACGGACTTCGGAGAACGGTGATGTAAAGGTTAGGCGATTCCAAGTTTGATGGCACATAAACATACAAGGCTTTTCTATGGAAAACAAAACTTATTTAAGGCGAGATTTAAGGCGAGTAATCCCCATTCACGAGACATAACAGGAGTTAGGTAAGTCAATCGCTCACAACGGCTTATTACCATGCGTTTGTTTTACTCTGGTCAGAGCTTGACGAGAGCATTCAAAACTACCCTGGTGGTCGTTATCGATAAAATCTTGCGAAAGAGCCAAGAGCAACTGTAACTTCCCCATGGCAGAAACACTTTGTCTGAGAACAATCTTATTGTTGTCATAACAAGGAGCACAAAGAATGCAGTATTCAAAAGAAATGAAGAGGTTCGGATGATTCGTTAAAGAGCGCATATTCGAACTTTGAACCGAAGTCGGACTCGTCCGTGGTTTGCAAACACTGTCGCATTATGATAAGTGCAAAGAGTTGTAAGGGTGTGCATAAATTTTAAACTATATGTCAACCCTTAGTTTGTGAAACTGTTTACCACTAAGCACCATTTTTGTCGTTCGTACAAAATACGTTGCCAAGAATGCACGGATTTTAGGAGTAAATAAACACCCAAAACATCCTCCACTTTTTCTCACAAACAAACACAGAAAGATGTACGGTCTAATTATGTATAAGCTAATTTGTGTCATTACTTTGCTACACATACATATTCTTCTATCTATCCTAAAACCAAGGTGTCGAACTGAACCCAAACCTAAAAGTAGAGCAAAGCCGCTGTTTTTGAGCGAACCGGAACAAAACCGCTAACGAAACCCAACAATACGCCTAGCAAGTGGGCTCATTTTCGTCTTCTGCGCATGAGAAAGGAAGTGGCGGTGACGTCAGAACGCCGAGCCCTGATTGGCTGATCGCGACCCCCTATCTGAGCGTCGTCTGCTCCTTTGCAACGTCGTCTGCTCGCAACGTCGTCTGCGTCTGTCTTACCTTTCCTGCGACTTTCGGAAGTGCAGGTCTTTACGAGCGAGCTCGACTTCGCCTTTCAGAGAGGGCAGACGAAATAACTCGAGCGGTACGTTGTTTTTGTCTAACAACTGGCAGACGCGCATTAAGGAGGGAAGTCAAAGGACTCACTGGCGAGGTGTCCCGAGGCGCCGAGGTTTGTTTGCTAACAAGTGAGAGTGAGAGTGGTTAGTGTCCGCAAGTTCCCTCCCAAATGCTTTTTCCCTCCTTTCGCGTGCGTCGAGACCCCTCACTCTTTAACGGCGTCGGCGGGTTGGCACAGTTAACGTCGTCTGCTTTACGTCTGCTAGTCAAAGCGATGGCTGCTTTACCTTTCCAGCGTCTGTCGGAGATTCACCGCTTTTTCACCGGCGAGAGTCACCGCTGCCTCGGAAAACAAGGAGATGACAAGAGGAAGAGATTGGCCTCTTAATCTAAAATTGAGGTCAGTAATCAAAGTATAATACGGGAAGGGCGCACAAGGGTCGCGCGGACATATTCCATTCAGCACGCCAGCCGGTCGAGACGGTCGCCGAGTCGCGGAGTGCCTGCTAGGCCTAACTGCAAGCTCGCTTGGTCGCATTCGGTGGAATCGTGGTCGTTGGAGCTTTTCCCGGGTGTTTGTGGATCCACCGCTCTTGTTCGTCGTGGTCTGTTTCAAGTACGTTTTACTTTTTTCTTGCTGCCTGAAGTCGGGACGCGTGAGAAGCGCACGTAGAAAAATTAACGTCCGTGGGTCGTCGCGACCGCGACGCTGTCGGCCGTGCTGATTTGATCGTAAGAAGTGCCTAAGACAGCTTCGGAGCTGCCGTAGGATTTCATCATAACCTGCGCAAAACTTACAAAAATTTCGTTTCCTGAATACGAATTTGTTCTTAAGTTTTGTCTTTCGCACAATTTTGGCGTAAGGTCGTTTCGTGAATCTGGCCTCTGCGCTTCCGAAAGTCTCAGGAAAGGTAAGACAGACGCAGACGACGTTGCGAGCAGACGACGTTGCGAAGGAGCAGACGACGCTCAGATAGGGGGTCGCGATCAGCCAATCAGGGCTCGGCGTTCTGACGTCACCGCTACCCCCTGCGCAAGAAGCAGACGAACTTGCCCTCCGCATTGATATTGAACCCCAACCGGAACGAAACCGCAACCTCACGTGGCGGTTAGCGGTTCACTGGAAAACGGTTCGGGTTAATAAAATGTAAGCCGCGCACGCTTTTTCGGGCGCCGCTGCGAAGCAAATTAAATATACCCGACGCTGGCGTCAGCAACGGCAGTGTTGACCGTTGGTGTTGACTATACAAATGACAGCGACGTGAAGACAGCACGGTGATAGTGAAACAAATGATTCAATTTCAAGTCTGCGTGCAGCAACACTTGGAGTCGGCGCGGCGGCGTACTCCAAATCTTTATTTAATTTCCCCTCACAATAAGGTGCAACGAACGCTACGCTGAAGGTCGTTGCAAGGAGAACTGGAGTTTATCCAGTATACACCAACTCTGCTCTGTGACGTGCAGGGGAGACCAAGGCAACCCTTGTCTCCTCTGAACTCGTCGAACCCGTTAGACCGCAGAATGCCGGCGTAAGTCGTTTGCTCTTGCATTCGAACTCGTTCGACGAAGGAAGTGGAGACAAAGGTAGATAACTTCAGATCTACCCACTAATCATTCGAACTAGAACTCGGCTTCTTGACGTACCCGCCGCGCTCTAGTCTCCTCTTCTCTCTCCCTTTCTAGGTGCTTTTGTTGATGTGTTTTTGGTTGCCGCTAACCAATGCTTCTAAGAAAAAAAAAGTCAACTTAATGTTAAAGAGAAATCGACGACTGTCAGAGCGTTTTTGTTGGCTTATTCTGCGGTGTCAAAAACTGGAGCCGACAATGGAAAGGCGAAGCGACGAGGTGCCCGACACTGCGGGTGCCTGTCGCTGGGACGTCGATCGCCAGGAGTCCTAGACGCTGACTGAAGAAAAATGATATATATACTTTTTTTTTTCAATTGCAGCATGTCGATTGTCTTGTTTTCTGTTCTTTTTTGTTTGTTTGTTTGTCACCACCATCTTTATTATATCCTTTCCTGTCTTTCTCGTTTTCAACTACACCATTCGAGGCGGGTAATTTCCAAGCCCGGAGTGTGCAGGTCGATTGACTTCATATGTTAATATAGTCTGGTGCTGTTTTCAAGCGCTTGCATGACCACACGATTTGCATACAACGCTGGCAAGAGCCGACGAGCCAATCAAACAGAGTCGAAATTGTAACGTCACTGCGCTCATCACCTTTTTTCTATGGGTGTGTTTTTGCTTTCTAATCCAACCAAACGCCTAAAGTGTGCCGTGACGTTCGAGATTTTGTACTCTATTGTGCAGGGATTCCACAGTTGCCAAAAGAGTGCAGTCTTTCGAAAAAAACCTATATACCGTTTTTTTCGTGTTTTTTTTTCACAACGGTTGCCGTTTTGAGTAATGACGTAGCAGTGTTGGGAAAAAAATGAGTAAACCACGTTGTTTGCCGGTTAGAAGGCGCTAGAATTCAAGGAGTTCGTGCGAATGGTTCTACTCTTTTTTTATTTCTTAGCTATAAATTTGTTTTATTGTAGTCACGCTTACACTATTTATTTTTTTCGCCCAACCCAATCACGTTATAATTTAATAATTTAACGTAACTACCGTAACGCGAAAGCGGTCTATACTCCGTTTCACTTTAGGCCTGACCACTGCTGAATCTGGGATTCTATGAAGCAAATGAAACAGCGCCAAAAGTACATCGTCACATTGCCTCATTGCCTTTGTGCATTTGCTATCATCAACTAAACCAAGCTCGCGAAGTTAGTGTGCACCGCGATTCGGCGCTTTTCCTGCACGCGATCGATTTAGCCGTTAAAGGCGAACTCGAAAAGACGAAGCGCGTGAAAATGCACGTTTTTGCCACTTGATCGGCACCAAGGGGTGCCGGCGTCAGGTGCGATAGGGCTTAAAGGCCGACGACCAGACTCGAGATTCTGCCAGGCAGAACATCCTCCTCACCATAGGGGAAAGGAAAACATGCAACGGTGGACAGGGTAACAGGGAGAGAGAAAGCGAGGGAAAGGGGAAAGCGCGAACTGCTCGTCGGTCTTTAAAGTGAAACAAAGTACAAAAGTCGTTTCCTCCGGGTTCAGAGCGCGTATCGGAGATAAAAAGGGCTCACCCACAGCCCGAGCTTCTGGAATAGGACGATTCGAAGTAAAGTGACGCTTCCTTGATTGCGATGCCGTAGTAGTGGTAGCGGGACTGGCCTCTGGTGCCCAGCCTCCTTGTGGTCAGCTGCGGAAACTGCTGCCGGATTATCTGCGAAGCAAAATAAAGCGCGTAGCACTTGAGAAAAACGCAGACGGTACCTTGGTTCACCTCGTGTCCAGACGCAGACGACTCTACGAGCTGATGGAACCAAGAAGATATCGTCAAAAGCACACCGCCGACCGTCGTGTTTATGTACGTGTTTCAATCATCGCTAAAACCACCCCCCCCCCCCCCCAAAAAAAAAAATGCCAAGTTACTCGCGCTTTTGGCGTTGCTAGTTGGTCCCCTTACCGCGTAGCGGCGGCTGCGTCTGGACTTCAGCTATAACTAGGATTCCGTGTTTTCGGAGTTTATTTTTTCGTAAAATTCAAGGGTGCTTCTTTTTGCTTTTCTTTTTTTCAGTATTTTTTTTTTCGTGAATATTTTGGCTTTGTCGGAGTTTATTTTTGATATATTTCAAATTCTATGAAATTCTGACGTCATCTTACTGTTCCCAAGTTTTAAAATAAAACAAAACGAAATAAATGAAATCCGGGTGCCTCGACCAATGTCCCGAAGGAACCTTGACGAGCTAAAGGGTAAACCCCTTTTTGTGACTAGTTTGGGATTTGAAAGGAAAGCTGAAGCGGCATTTCCTCAGATTTACTGACTCTGTGCTCTTCTAAATTATTTTTGTAAGATAAAATCGTCGTTTTTTTTTTTTTTTCCCTTTCTTTTTTCTGTTGTTGTGACCTTGAAATGTGGTGATTATCGAATAAATCCAAATTGATAAAAAATTTAGCGGTGAGTGTTTCTTTTATTATTATTTCATTATTTCGGATTTGTCCGGAGACACGGAACCCCGAAGAAGGCGGAGGGCACGTTCGTTTGCTTCTTTTGCAGAGGTTGTTGTGACGTCAGAGCGCTGCCGAGCTCTGATTGGCCCTGATTAAAGGACCGTAGGTAGACCTCAAAGTAAGCTGCTTCGAGGTCTACCCACTATCCTTCAACCGCAGCCAATCAGAGCTCGGCGTTCTGACGTCACCACAACCCCTGCAAAAGAAGCAGACGAACTTGAATAGCTCTTGAATTAGGAAATGGAAAGAATCACGCCAGGTTTTGAACAAGACCTCGAAAGGCCGCGGAGGGATGGTTATTCAAAACTCCCTTTCACATTCAGTTACGACCGCAGACAACGCAACGATTCGACCGAGCTAGCCAATGAGGACGCACAAAAAGTATATCGTTACGGCGCTGGTCGTCTTTGTGCGTTTTCTATCACTGCCTAGACGTGCATGCCTAGTGAACGTGTCGTGATGCTGTGCTTTTTCTTTGCGTGTGCAGGATCCGTTTAGCCATGTGCTATAGACCAGGGTGTAAGATAGACAGTGGGGAAACAAGAGCCAAATGAGCGACCGGATTGTGTCCCCCTCGGTTTTCTCTTCTTCCGTGGCGCCATCTATGTGGAGCACCGCCAACTCTCACTCCGGGTGGGCGACCGGTGGCGATTGGCTAAACTAACGGAGATAGTTTCTCGTGGATTTTGAATGGAGGACTGTCGTGCTCTCGGTTTATTTTGCGCACTCTCCCATAGAGTTCCACGTGAATCCGATTCCGATTTTTTTCTTCTTGCCGCAGCGCCATCTGTCTCAAATCGGGGGTACCCGCAAGCAGACGAGTACACAATCCGGTCACGGCGCTGCGGTAGGCTTCTATGGGCCGTTTCCCCACCTGTCTATCTTACACCCTGCTATAGACCAACTCAACTCACTGACGTCACGTCACTGCCGTGGCGCTGCTGTCGGTACTGCGCATGCGCAGATACTTCACTCCTCCCGAATTTGGTTGTAACGTACGCGCAATGCCCCCACCTGGTGCGGGCAAAGCGGGCTGGTTTGGAAACACTGTCTCGGTGTATAGCAAATAGACAAAGACGAAGAGCGCGATGACGATGCCATTTTTGGCGCAGCTTGATTTGATTCCATCGCGGATAGTAGCGTAAGTTACGGTCGGACTTCGTGTGAAACGAAATTATTTTGTTTGTCCCCTTTTCGTTAAAACTCGTGCAGTCGAAGGCCGGATCAGGTACAGCTACGGACGAGCCATTAAACGCGCGAGTAAAGGGTCATTCACTGCCCTTGATTGAGTCGGTGATAGCGCACGTACAGAAAGCGATAACACACACCGTAACGCTGCGTTTTTGATGCTGTTTCATGAGTGTCCGATCGGCTCGTAGCGTTGACTGCGCTCGTAGTACCTAAGGTGGAACTAAGTACAAAACGTCGGCAATGGTAATCTCGAACCACGGTGTTAAGTTACCTGGCCTAGAATATTTTCTTAACGCTGTGGGAAATTTTTTTTTTCTATGGGGATAAACTGAAACACCTGATGCGCACTGTTGACGTTGGGAGTCTACCAGTCGGATCTCTTGGGGAAACTAAAGACACAGTTAGAAGGCTAATGCATTGTACAAAAGACAATCTGAAGAAACTGAATGAGGCGTGTTTCTTTCTTCTAGGGCGATCTTGTCACAATGATCATACAAAACCTGTCTGTAGATATGTTAAAAGCATACATACGTATCATCACCATCATCCAGCCTTTATTTCTGCCAATAAACATCCATTAATGAACTGAAATGTGGAACATTGAGGTAAACATGCTTCGAAGATTCTTCGGGCTCATCCACAGACAATCCTATCAACATGTCTGCAGTAAAAACCGTATTGCTTTTTTTTGTGTGGTATTTGGTCAGTGTGACTGAAACTTAATGAATGAATGGGGGTTCAAAGAAACCTTAGTGTACAAAGTCGCTGGATGCGTCTACTTTTTCTTAAAACCATTCGGACCCATCAAAAAGATGGATATTTGAAAACGCCATCTATGCTTGAGACCAAGGGGTTATATAATTTTTTGTAATAATTGAAACGCGAAGTGAAGGCTCTGCTTTTAAAAATTTATTCAAATGTATCGAGACATCGAGGCAGTAGCGGCCAAGTTTGATATAACTCTCGCGAAAAACAGTCGAGAAGTTAAAGCCTTTTTCTGGAATCCTTGAGCAATGTTCAAAAACGCAGAGAAACTCTCCAGTATCCTCTCGCCAAAGTGCTTTGTATGATATTCCGTCAAGGTGTGGCGTTTCGTACATATATGTTAGACTGAATTTTACAGCATAAGCGAGAGGACTTCCTTTCAAGAATTAGATCAACAAATTTAAGTTTGTCTTACTTTTTAAATGAAGTCAACTACGTCGCCCTGAAATTTCAAAAGGTAAAAACGACTATCTCAATCCACATTTGGTGACAGTTTGAGCTTTCTATGTGCAGGCGCTGTTTTTTTCGGCTCATTTACAGAGCAATAAGATTCACTATGAATACCCTACTATAGTTGATGCTCGGTACATCCATCTATATCGCGCCGGTAGCTGACCAGCCTCGAATTTACACGTAAAGCATAAATAGTCTATTAATAGCTCTCTATGATTCGAGATGGCATATAAAACAAAAAAAAGCTTCGAAATTACGCAACAAATGATGTAGGATACCCTCCGGAACGCCTGGATCATTGCGAGCGATTGGACGCGCACGCTTACCGCTTCAACGGCTTAGTAGAAAACACGTCCGAGAGCGAAAGATTAGCAAGGGCAAGAAAGAGGAGGACACACGATAAAGCCGAGGATTCATCGGAGAGACGACAGTCTCGCCTCCGGTGTTAATTGGGAAAGGTACGGCTGGGTGCGCGAGGCGTAAAATGCCACTAATGAGCAGCCGTTGCTCGGAGCAATTCAGTGAGCCCATCGCTCAGCCATCTCGTTTGATGGCGTGCAGGGTGGAATATTTCTGCATGATTATTTGAAAGAAAGTAAGGGGGGATTATGAATAAAAAAGACGGAACGCAAATTTTAGGTGAGATAAATGGTCTGCCCACGCCCTTCTCTATACAGGAACAATATGCCCTTCTGAAAAGTTCCCGCCAACTAATATCTGCTGCGCCAAATATTTCGTGGCAAAAAGATGTGACGTCATATACTAATATGACGTCATGAACAGATGTAACATCACGGACGTATGTGACATCCCGGACGAATGTGAAACCACGGACGAAGATAACCCCCGTTGCACCAAGACGAGCGAGATATACCTTCCTATTCAAAAATGTTGTATGTTCACTTTAATAAAAAATGTTCACCTCTTGCGATCGCCCCTCTGCACCCTCCCCCCCCCCCCCTCATTTAATTCCGCCCCTGTGAAAACAAGTCGTTGAGAAAGAGTCCAATGACGCCACACACGCAGCGAAGGAAACGGTTCGAATGGTAACAAAACGAACGTAAGGGCGCAACTAAACTGGTGTGTATTAAACATTTTGAGTCTCTTCCCTTGGTGTCAACATTGGTAGTTTTCAGTCTCGAGTTGCTTCAAAATGTTCGGGTGGTAACTTCGGGCAATTGCACCAGTCAGCCTTCCAGACAGCTTAAAAATTAATTTAAAATCTTCGTGAAAGTGTAAAGATACAACGTTCTTTTTTGTTATTATTTACACACTGCTTTCAATGGTGTTCGCGAGATCATGGGCGGTTCTGAAACGCTTCTTCGGGGAGTTCAGGAGCGCTATTCGGTCGTAGAACAGAAATGTTCTAAATAAGCCAATGAACGCGGTGCAGTGAAACTTTGCATAAAAATGTCTTTGGGTGGTGCATTTATCACACCCGAATTTCGTGAGTGTAGATTTCTGGGAAAACGTAGGTCCAAGAAAAGAAAATCTGGTCATTTTCTATGCGCGGTAGGAAAGTAGAAGCAAACCCCGTCGGGTTCACGGTGCTATTCAAATACGGCACCGCGTGCTGCAATAATCCTCTTCCCGGTGAACACGTAATGCCGCGCTCGCACTGCTAATACATTATACAAAGAACAGACAGCAGACACTGCCTAACGAGTGTTCCTTCCATTGCCGAAGGTCGCATTGGTCATAAAAACACTATCTGTAGATATGTTCGAAGCGTGTATAAAACGAGCATGCTTAGAACTTTCTTGAGGCATGTATGTAGATCATTTTCTCACCATGTCTGCGGAC